GCCGCCCCGCCGGTCGGGCGCCGGCCGCGCGCGTGTGCGGGGAGGGCCGGACCTCCGCGCCCCTCCGCGCTGCGCTCCCCGCCACTTACTCCCAGCCGGCCTGCCTCCCTCGAAGTCTCCCCGGCTGATCAGGTGTGTCTCCCGCTCCGTCCCCTCCCCGCTCTCAGGTCACAAGCACCCTTGGAACCCAGAGGACCGCACTGTGAAGGTGACCCCCCTGGGAGGACGATGGCCGGCGCCCGCCTCGCCTGGACCCACATCCCTGCTGTCGCTCTGTGGCTCCTGTGCTCGCTCGGCCTCCAGGCAGGTAATGTGCGTGTGCCCGCGCGCGAGAGCCAGGCAGGGCTCTCCCTGCTTAGGATGTGGTAGCCAACCCTTGTTTACTGCCAGGGATAAGGGCAAAGTCGGGGGCCAGGGCTCCTCTTTCCTCATGGACTGAACAGTCAGCGGGGATCAGGGCCTATCCAGAGCCTTCCCCGGTCTCTCTACCTGCTGTTCTGTCCAAGTGGGGCTCGGTCACCACTCATAACCTTTGCTAGCACTTTACTGATTGCTGTGCCGTGTGTATCCTCTCACTCAGGCCTCGTGACAGCAACCTCAGAAAAGGGTGCTATTAGTAGTTATCTCACTTTATTTATGTATTTATTTTTGCTGGCCGGTGCAAGGATCAAACACCTGGACCTTGGTGTTATCAGCACCAGGCTCTAACCAACTGAGCTAAGCAGCCAGCTATCCCACTTTTTAGATTAAGAAACCAAGACTCCCATGTTAAATAATTTGTCCAGGATAACAGTGCTCATAAATGACACTCAACTCAGGGGGACCTCCAAAAGTCCTGTGCTGTTTTTCACAGAGACCGCCTTCTGGTAGAAACCTAGCACTCTGACCCAAGACAGCCCAGCAAATAACAGAACTGGAGACAGGGGAGTGCAAGGGGCAGGACTGGGCTCGGACCGAGTCTGGGGGTGGTCTCAATTCTGGAAAGTGGAGAAAGGGACTTTCCTCTCCAACCTTTTCCTGGGATAGTCTCTCCCATATGAAGGGTCCTCTTCTCCTTGTCCTTCCAGCTCTTCTGGCTCTCCAAAGAGAAGCGAAATGGAGATTAGTGGAAGGGGCTGTGAGAGGGGGACACATCTGTGGCTCATGCTGGGCCACTGAGTCCCAGTGGTCCAGGGCTGGAGCCTGTTCCACAAGGAAGTAGCAGATAGTGTAGGTGGTGATGACTCTTATTGACCTAAGTTACCCGTGCCCTTCCTGCTCCAACAGAGGCCCCGTGGGAGTCCCACTCCAGAACCAGAGCCTGAAACTCTGGAATCTGGTTGGGGAGCTGAGCTGCACTTGGGCCACATGGTCTTAGGACCAGCCTTCCTCATCTGGAAACCCTCAGGATGGCATGTCTGGCACAAGATAGAGTGGAGTGGGGATTTCCTGGGGCATTTAGGGAACTGGATAGGGCTTGGATTGAGTGTGAGCTCCAGGCCATTCTAGGCTGCCCTCAGGATGGCATGTCTGGCACAAGATAGAGTGGAGTGGGGATTTCTTGGGGCATTTAGGGAACTGGATAGGGCTTGGATTGAGTGTGAGCTCCAGGCCATTCTAGGCTATTTTTAGGGTGCTGCAGTGCTCTGGGAAGTGGGGAAGCTTGTGTGTATGTATGAAAGGGTCCATTCTCAGCTGAGTCCAGCTGGAGAGATTAGAGGTGGGTAAGGGCAGGGTAAAGCTTCTAAGGGTCTCCTAGAAGCTAGGATAGAGTGAGACAGACTAGGTGGGGCAGGTGCTTAGGGCTTCTAAACCTTTGATTCATGTGCTAGATAGAAAAATCTTCCCCAGTGGGTTTGTTTGTTCCCCCTTCCCTGCCCGTGGCCAGACCAGTCCAGTCCAGATTCCTGCAGCAGGAGGCTGAGCAGCTTCTTCCTCTCCTCTTCTGCCGCCCCTCCTCTTTCCGGTGGAGGAGTGGCTTAGGAGGTGGAGTCTGCGTTTTTCCTGGAGATAGCCTGAGGCCTGGCAGCTGGGGAGGACTGCTTTTATTACCACTCTAGCCCTTTGCTCTCTTGGGGGTGGGAAGAAGGGAGTGGTAGGGCAGGGCATCTGTCCCTTGGTCCTGGGGACTAGGGCTTGGAGAGGACAGTCATGTAGTTGTGTGGGGGTGGGACATTCCTGATTCAGCCCAAGGTCAGATACATCACTCTGCCTGCCACTTCCACCCTGGGGGCCTGTGGGGCTAGCCTCTCTGCTAGGTAGACTGCTAAGTAGCCTGTCTTCTTCACCCTTTTCAGACAGCTGTGCAAAATGCAAGGAGAGAGAAACAGGATCATGCTGGCTCACTACCACAATGGCTTTGTCTCTCAGGGTCCTCTCCTGACTGCCAGCCAAGCCTCTGGGCTGAAAGTTGCTTCCAGACAGTCACTTTCTGTTCCTTCTCTTCCTGTCTTATTTCCCCTAAATCCCTGGAACCCAGTTCCCCTTTACTCATTTTTGTAGGCCTCTGTACCATTTGACATGTTTCTCTGTGAGACCTCTTCCCTCCCATCCCGTTTGTTGTCACTGTGTGTCTGGGTCTTCTCCCCTCTGTGATGTGAGCACCTTTTCTGAGTCCCCCGTTGGCTCTGCTCTCTCTGCCTCATCAAAGAGGAATGCCTGTGACTCAGCCCTTGCCAGCTGTTATCTCTTTTTTTATTTCCAGGCTGTTGGCTGGCTGGTACGGGGATCTGAACCCATGACCTTGGTGTTATAAAGCTGCACTCTAGCCAACTGAGCTAACCCTGTTCTTGTCTCTTTACCTTCTCTTATTCCTTTGCATTCACTCTTACACTTGAAATAACCCTCTGTAGAGCCTCTGTGGAGGTTAGTTTGGTAATATCTATCAAAACTGTAGATGCACGTAACCTTTGACACAATTCCATTTGTAGGAGTCCATCTTGTGGCTATACTTATACGTGTATAAAACAACTTACCAGCCAGTTATTCACTGTAGCACTGTTTATAATAAGGAGAAATTGGAAACAATCTTAATGTCTGTGAATACATACTGTAATTGTTTTATTTTTTGTTTTTCAGCAGCTGACCAGTATAGGGATCAGCATCACACTCTAAACTAGATGAGCTAACCGGCCAGCCTGATGCTAGAATTGAATACTGTGATGCTGTTTTAATAATAATAATAATAAACCCTGAGGCAGTATGGTTTAGTTTTTAGTAGAAAGAAAGATAATCAATCTAAATCAACAAGGAACTAGTGAGGACTGGTTAAATAAAGCAAAAATTATGGTGCTTTCACACAATGAATAGTATACAACAACAGCAACAGCAAAAAGGAAGGAAACATTTTATGTGTTGCTATGGAATTTCCAACATATATTAAGGGGAAAACAAGATAAAAAATGTTAACCTAAATAACAAACAGAGAAGTCTTTAAAGAGTATGATGAGTTTAATTGGGAATAGAACATTGCAATGGGGGAATGCGCGTGCCATAGTGAATAATGTGCGTGTTCAGGGAGGTAAAGGAAAAAAGGGTTTTTTTAAATTTTTTAAAAGATGACCGGTAGAGGGATCTTAACTCTTGGCTTGGTGTTGTCAGCACCATGCTCAGCCAGTGAGCAAACCAGCCATCCCTATGTAGGATCCGAACCCATGGCCTTGGTGTTATCAGCACCACACTCTCCTGAGTGAGCCACGGGCCGGCCCTAGAAAGAGTTTTAAAGGAAAAATGATGGAAGATTACATAAGTGTTTTGGGATAATTATCCTTGCCTACAAGGATCAATACCAAGGGTGATGCCAGTCTAAGATTGGACAGACAGTTGCCTGGCAGATGTCCTCACAGAAGTTTTTCTTTCTTTTTTTGCGCTGGCTGGTGAAGTATTTTTTGAGTAAGGTCGTGATGGACTTTGTGCAAGGTTCTGGTTTTTCAGAGTCCTTTGTGATAGCTCTTGTTATCAGGCATTTGTGCATGAGGACCCTCCCTTCATTGCCTTTCCCAGCTGTTTGTCAGGGTTTTTCCCAAACATTTTGATTCTGAAAACTTTTACCAGAACTTACATGCTTGTGAATTCAAGTACTATATCTTGATATTCACACTCACATACATAGGTAAAAGTGGATGCCTTTGGGGTGAAGAACCTGGGGGGTTAAGGAGAAGAAGAGGCTTAAGTTTCACTACCCTTTTGTACCTTTTGTTTATTTTTTTTTTATTTTATTTATTTATTTATTTTTATAGTTTTTTTTTTTTTTCCTTTTTGTCTTTTTTCGTGTCCGGCAACGGATCACAACCCTCAGTGTCGCGCCCGTACCGGACCGGGACCGGCAACGGGATCGCAAACCTCAGTGTTGCTCCCGCACCTCGCTCAGCCAGTGAGCAGGAACCCGTCTGTATGTGGGATCCGAACCCTCAGCGGGAGCGCCGCCAGGCTTCCAAGCAGCGCACTGTAGCAGTGTGCCACCGGGCCGGCCCCCTTTTGTACCTTTTGGATTTTATATCATGTACATGTCTTACCAAAGTGAGAAAAACAAAACAAAAGACTATGAAAGCAATCAAAATCACACCTCTGGGCCGGCCTGTGGCTCACTCGGGAGAGTGTGGTGCTGATAACACCAAGGCTACGGGTTCGGATCCCATATAGGGGTGGCCGGTTGCTCACTGGGTGAGCGTGGTGCTGACAACACCAAGTCAAGGGTTAAGATCCCCTTACCGGTCATCTTTTTTTTTTTTTTTTGGTGTTATCAGCACTGCACTCTCCGGAGTGAGCCACGGGCCGGCCCCTTGCTTCCAATTTTTGATGTTGGGTTTCATTTCACTGCCTTCAGCCTTCTAAAACACATAGGAAATCTTAAGACCTATTGGTGCTTCTTTGGGTCAAATCAAAAACAGTCTATACAGGGCCGGCCCGTGGCTCACTCGGGAGAGTGCGGTGCTGAGAACACCAAGGCCACGGGTTCGGATCCCATATAGGGATGGCCGGTTCACTCACTGGTTGAGCATGGTGCTGACAACACCAAATCAAGGGTTAAGACCCCCTTACCGGTCATCTTTAAAAAAAAAAAAAAAAAAACAGTCTATACAGATTCCTTATAAATTACTGGTATCAAGGTGGGAAGGAAGAGATGTAAGAAGAAAAAGACATCACAGACCTCATACATATGGTTATCAAAATTATTGGCATACAGTCTATCCTAGCACAGAGTAGCTTTCTTACCCTATAGCATAAAATTACCAGCAAGAAAAAATAATACAAGAATAAGGTTTACGGCTAAATCAACTCTGTCATAATTCCCTATTCTTGCATTCTCAGAAGGATCCTAACTGATATACACAGTAACTGCAGCAAAATCTAAATAGTTTGTTGCTTGATCCACTCTGAACTCCCTTAAGCTCAGTGTCTGTTAGTTCTCTTTCAAGCTTCCAGGAATATCTGCTGAGTAAGAGGTGTCTCAGCTTTACCATTTTCTTTTCTGCACAGATAACAATGTCCTTACTCCTCTCCTGCTGTAGGGCAAGCCCTTGCTGATTTTCTCCCGTAAGATCTTTTCTCTTCTGTCCTGCTGTTGGGGTGGACCTTCCTGTAGCGGGGGAGGGAATTTGGTAGCAGGGTTGAGAGTCAAGCTATTAAGGTTCTTTATCAACATTTCTGAAATGGGGGCCGGCCCGTGGCTCACTCGGTAGAGTGCGGTGCTAATAACACCAAGGCCCCGGGTTCGGATCCCACATAGGGATGGCCGGTTCGCTCACTGGCTGAGCGTGGTGCTGACAACACCAAGTCAAGGGTTAAGATCCCCTTACCGGTCATCTTTTAAAAATAAATAAATAAATAAATAAATAAATAATTAAAAAAAAAAAAAAACATTTCTGAAATGGGTTGAGAGACTGCGGAATCTTCCTGGGAATTTCCTTCAATGGGCTTTGGAGACAACTCCAAGGTCAGGTGAGGGTTAAGCCTTTGTGGAGGGTCCATCAGTGGTCTAGTCACAGTTGTAAGCTCCTCCTAGATCTCTGAGTCCAAGTGGAAAATGATATTGCACTCTCAAATTGCTCCAAGATACCCTTGAAAGAACTCTAGTCAGAAAGCCTGACAACCCAAATGCCAACAGACAGTGGTAAAAGAGCCAACCTAAATATTCAGATCCGGTTTCCTCTTAAACAACCTAATCACATATTTTCTTATTTGGCTTTTTAAAAAATTGTTGTGTTATCGTTTTTTTTTTTCTTTTTAAAGATGACCGGTAAGGGGATCTTAACCCTTGACTTGGTGTTGCCAGCACCACGCTCTCCCAAGTGAGCAACCTGGCCATCCCCAAATAAGGATCCGAACCTGTGGCCTTGGTGTTGTCAGCACCACACTTTCTCAAGTGAGCCATGGGCCGCCCCTTACATTATCTTTTTAAAGCAATTAGCATAAGTATCTGCTTATTGCAGAAAATAGGAACAATCCCACCCCCTCAAGTATATACAGTGTGTATATATACATAGACATATGTATTCCTAAATGAGATCAGATGGCACATGCTGTTCAGTAATATGGTTCAGAAAGTGGCTTTTACAACATAAACATGTCTTCAATATACCAAAGACATAATGTTTCTGAATAGAGAGCTAGAAGCTAGGTTTTTTCCCTTTTTTTTTTTTTTTTTTTTGCTGGGCAGGGATCAAACGATGGATCTTGCTTTTATCAGCACCATGCTCTAACCTACTGATCTAACCGGCCAGGCCCTAAAAGCTGGTTTTGTTGTGAGCTCTTGCCCACATCCCTTGCAGGCTGCCTAGCCTCAAGTTGGTCTAGGTGTGGCCCATACTGCCACCACCAGGAGAGACCTCATCCTTCACTGAGAGTTGACCTTACCTCACCTTTTCTGCAGGGTCCCGGATCCCCAAGACCGGGCCAGGCATAAACTTGAAGGTACAGCCCCAGGAACCCATGGTGCTGAAGGATGTGGACAGCACAGATTGGCACCTACTGCAGGGTGACACAGACATCAGAGTAGAGGTGAGACACCAGGCTGGCTCCCTGACCCCCTCCTCAACCTCTCAGGTGCCCCCTTCTGGGGCTACAGGCCAACCATGGGCTCCAGATGGGGTGGGATAGAGAGCTGAGAATGCATTTATTTTAATTTTATTTTTTAGTTTTTTGAGGATGCATTTAATACCAAGTTCCTCTGCTCTCCCAGGGTGGGGTATATGGCTGGGAGGGCCTGGGGCAGCTCGGGGCAGCTCAGGGCATCAGGAGGTACCCAAGCCTAATGGCCATTCCTGTGTATAGAGGAGAGATCCGGACCACGTGGAATTCTGGGGACTCAAGGAAGGCACCTACCTGTTCCAGGTGACAGTGAATGGCTCAGACCAGCCAGAGAACACAGCCAACATTACAGTCACTGTGCTGTCTGCCAAGCAGACAGAAGGTAAGGCAGGGGGTGGGGAGGTGGCTCCTGGAGCCAGCCCCCTCTCCTAACTGGCCCCACAGGCGCCCTCACAAGCTGTCCTCCCCCTAGACTATTGCCTCGCATCCAATAAGGTGGGCCGCTGCCGAGGTTCCTTCCCCCGCTGGTATTATGACCCCAAAGAACAGATCTGCAAGCGTTTTGTTTATGGAGGTTGCTTGGGCAATAAGAACAACTATCTTCGGGAAGAAGAATGCATGCTAGCCTGCCGAGATGTGCAAGGTGGGCCTTTGAGAGGCAGCTCTGGGGTTCAGGTGACTTTCCCCCAGGGTGGGTGGTCTCTTCATAGTCGGGGAGGTGAGTGATGGGAGCCCCCATTTCCCCCCATCATCTCACTGCTGGAGCCTGGCCATGCCTCCTCTCACTTCTCTGTTCTCTCTCTCCCAGGACCCTTGATGAAAAGGCACCATCCAGGTGGGCTGTACTCATTTCCCTATTTCCCTCACTCTGCCAGGTCTCCAGCCCATAAAATGTCCATACCCCTGACGTACCCAACCCATTCCTCCCCTCATAGTATGTGGAAGGACCACACACACCCCACCCCTTCCAACCCAGCATTCTTCAGTCAGGATCTGCCCAGTTTCCATGCAGGAGGATTTGGGGTTGGTGGAAAGGGAATAGGGGATATGTCATGATGCTGTGTCGGGGTGGAGAGGGCAGGTAGATGATGGACCCTTGGCACTTGCTGTGGGCTTGAGTCTGACCTCACTCCCACCCCATCCCACCCCCACCTAGTGTGCTCTGGCATCTGTCACTCCACCCAGTTCCGCTGCAGTAATGGCTGCTGCATCGACAGCTTCCTGGAATGTGACAACACTCCCGACTGCCCTGATGCCTCGGACGAAGTCACCTGTGAAAAGTGTGAGGCCTAGGGGATGAAGAGGGGGTGGAAGCATACAGGGAGGTCCTGACAGCTCTGCCCTGCAGAGACCCTTGTTGGGTCCCAGCCTCTGATCTTTCATTTCTGCAGACACCAATGGCTTTGATGAGTTCCAGAGCATCCCTTTCCCCAGTGACAAAGGTGAGATCCTTCCCAGGTCCCCTGGGTCAGGGCAGATGCTGGCACTGCCATCCTTACCTATTCCACCCAGCAGTGCCAGAGGCTACGGGCACAAAGAGCCAGGGTGGGCTTCCAGCCCTCCAGATGAGCGGCCATGCCCTAGCTGTCTCCTGGGCTCACTTCTGTGGCTCTGGGTTTTCCAAGCGTCATTCTCTGAACATCTTTATAACTTTGGCCGTGCCCACAACATATCACTGAGATATTACTTACTCAGTTACTTTTTTAAGTTAATGGATTAAAAAGGAAATTTCATATCACTACCGTAAATGGGAAACCACTATTGCCACAAATTGAAAATAACGATAAAAATAAATAGAATACAATTATCTCAGTTGGTTAGAGCACGATGCTGGTAACGCTAAGGTCCAGGGTTTGATCCCTGTACTGGCCAGCTTAAAAAATAATAATAAGATAAATAAGATAATGTTAATAAATATTAGCTGATGGGCCGGCCCGTGGCTCACTCGGTAGAGTGCGGTGCTGATAACACCAAGGCCGCGGGTTCGGATCCCATATAGGGATGGCCGGTTTGCTCACTGGCTGAGCGTGGTGCTGACAACATCAAGCCAAGGGTTGAGATCCCCTTACCGGTCATCTTTAAAAAAATAAATAAATAAATAAATATTAGCTGAACATTGTTGCCTGCCAAGTGTCAGCCCCTGAGGTGCATCCTCTTTGTTAAAAAGGATAAACTACCCAGTGTTAGAAAACTGAGGCCTTGGGCCCGCCCGGTGGCGCACTCGGTAGAGTGCGGCGCTTGGGAGTGCGGTGGCGCTCCCGCCGAGGGTTCGAATCCCATATAGAGACCGGTCCGCTCACTGGTTGAGTGCGGTGCGGGCGCGACACTGAGGGTTGCAATCCCGTTACCGATCACGAAAAAAGACAAAAAGGAAAAAAATAAAAAGAAAACTGAGGCCTTGACACAGTCAGAAAAGTTGAAAGAAAATTGAAAAATCACTAACTGTGAGTTAGTGGAGTTTACTGTGTGCCTAAGGTTATTGTCCAGGATATGTCTTCCTTGCTTCTGGCAACACTGCAAATGGGCCATATGTCTGGGAGGCCTCTCAGGCCCTCACTGAGCCACAGCTGGCTTTAGTATGAGGCGCAGTAGGAAGTGGTGGGCAGCAGCCACGTGGAGCCTGGTGGTGGGTGGTGTTATGGGGGCGCCATGGACTTACTGGCCCCTTGGCTTGCTCCTTGCCTCCAGTGCACTGCGTGGACCTGCCAGACACGGGACTCTGCCAGGAGAGCATCCCACGCTGGTACTACAACCCCTTCAGTGAACGCTGTGCACGCTTCACCTATGGCGGTTGTGATGGCAACAGGAACAACTTCGAGGAAGAGCAGGAGTGTCTCGAGTCCTGTCGTGGCATCTCCAGTGAGTGGGGCTGGGCGGTGGGGCATGGGTGTGAAGGGGAAATTCTTAGCTAGCATTCTCTGCTTTGTCCCAAGGCGGATCACACCTCCCTCCTCAGAGAGCCTGGAGTGGGGTGGGAGAGGATGGCAGTGAGTGTTCTGGGGCACCGGGGAGCAGCTGAGTCTCAGCCCTTAGTGCTGACCGGTCTCTCTCCTAATCATTTTGCAGAGAAGGATGTGTTTGGTCTGCGGCGAGAAAGCTCCATTCCCAATGCAGGTAAGCCTTGGTCTGTCTTGTCACCACAGTTGATGCATAGGTGTCAACTTAAGGAATCAACTCCACATGGTTGGTTTTGACTGCCTAAAGGTATGTTGAGAGGGATTCTGAGGTGGCCTATAGGGACAGAGTGCCACAATCAGATAGCAATGCATGCCATGGGTAAGGGAGAGCAGGATAGTAAAGTATGTGCCAGGTGTCTGCCATCAGAATCCCAGGCCTTTCCCAAGCTACCTGTAAGTAGAGCAACCTCCAATGCATGCCATGGGTAAGGGAGAGCAGGATAGTAAAGTATGTACCAGGTGTCTGCCATCAGAATCCCAGGCCTTTCCCAAGCTACCTGTAAGTAGAGCAACCTCCAGTCCGAACTTGAATCCCACCACAGTCCCTTTGAGCTCCCAGATGGAGCTGTCCAGCTATTCGTGTGCTCCTGGAGGTCTGAGTTGGGTGCGCATGTCCTCCCACACGTGGCATCCACTGGACTCAGTCCCTTTGATATAGTGGGGGTGGGCATCAGAACTGGCAGCCCTGGGAGCTTCTCATTCCGCCCCTCCTCCTCCCAGGCTCTGTGGAGGTAGCCATTGCAGTACTTCTGGCCACCTGCATTGTGGTGGTGGTAGCCATCCTGGGTTACTGCTTCTTCAAGAACCAGAAAAAGGGCTTCCGCAGACACCACCGCCACCACCACCCACCCTCCACCCCTGCCAGCTCCACCGTCTCCACCACTGAGGACACGGAGCACCTGGTCTATAATCACACAACCCGACCCCTCTGAGCCTGGGGCTCTCGCTAGCTCTCACCTGCTCTCACCTGGCCCTGATTTCTGTTTGTCGAGACAGGCCTAGGCTGGGGACAACTTTGGGACCAGACTTCTCCTGCCTGTTTCCCAGGCCCACTCTGCCCCAGAGGCCAGGGCTTTAGCCCCCTTGGAGGAATCTCAGCTAAGCTCAGGACAGTTGTTTCTGAGAAAGCTCAAGGGTATGGGAGGAGCAGAAAACCCTTGAGCCGGAGTACCATACACAGATGGACCTGCCTACCTAGGAGTTCACAGGAAGTTGGAGTTTTGTTCTCTGTTCAGAGCTGCCTGCCCCTACCCAACGTGCTGGGAGGGGATCTGGGGTGGTGTCAGAAGCTAGAGGCCCCAACCCTGTCCTCCAGAGCTGCCCCTTACGCTCTGCACAGTCCAGGGCTGGGAGGGAGGACTTCCCTGTATAGTGTGTGCTGTAAAGAGTTGCGTTTTGTTTATTTAAGGCCATGGGGGTGGGTGAAGGGGAATGGAAGGCGGCTGTCTGGCCTCCTCTCTTCCTCTTTGCCCAAGATTGAGCTCTGTGCCCTTGGCCAGACCCAACCTGGCCTGGACTGGCAGTCACAGCCAGGAAGGCTCCGCTGCATCCCCCACCCCCCAGGGCTCTCCACTATCACACTCCCACCCCTTCCTCATTTTCTGTCACAGTGTAATAAAATGTTTTGTTCTGTGGGGTTTCTGCCTCTGTTCTGTGGGCCAGGAGAGGGACAAGGTTGCTGGGGGGAGATGCGTCCGCCCCGTCCAACCGGTTCAGGCTTTGGCCACCCTGTTTAGCAGGTTTTCCCACCTCTCCCGAAACTGCCCCAGCCC